AGACCGGATCTGCATGTGTTACGTTGTAACAAAATTGTCACAAAAAAATGTCAAATCCCAAACAATCCGACTTGAGCACGGCCAAACATGTTTTGAGATATTTGAAAGGTACACAGGAATTAGGATTAAACTTTAGAAAAAACGAATTCACCACTATAACTCTTAAGGGGTTCTGCGATTCAGATTGGGGAACGTCTGTTGAAGATAGACGAAGCGCCGGTGACAGGCTATAATTTTCAGCTCTCACAAAATGGCCCGATGTATCATGGAAAAGCCGAAAACAACCGACCGTGGCATTGTCAACATGTGAAGCAGAATATATAGCTCTAGCCAACGCGATACAAGAAGCAAAATTCTTAAGGCAGCTTTGCACAGACATGATGGTAAGTATAGAAGGTAAGTCACTCATTATGATAGATAATCAGGGAGCTATGAATTTAGCCAGGAACCTAATTCAGCATCAGAGGTCAAAATTGACATAAAGTACCATTTCATTAGATCAGAGATACAGGAAGGCAGAGTTGATTTAGAGTATATTCCAAACGTTGCAGACATTTTCACAAAACTAGCCAGTAAGATAAAATTACATAGTTTCAGATGTATTATGTTAAGAGAATAAGAAAAGAAGGTAAGTATAGTCAAATAAGTGCAGGATAGAAATGTAAAGCGCGCGTATATACTGCATGATGGCCCGCCATGCTGCACGCCATCAATTATAAAGGGTCAGAACATAAAGAGCAAGTAGGAATGTTAAACTTTCCCCTTTTATATTCTGATGATCGATTGATTGTAAATATCTTTAATTCTATAAATTCCATATAGATATATATGTAAGCAAAGGTAATTCAACGAAAGACCAAATATGGCTATATAAATGTAAAGTGAAATGTTATACGTCCTAAACATATTACCATGTAACTTCTCATATATCGATGTAATCCTGCCCTGTAATATCAGAGTGAATAAACGGTCATACACTAAAGTTGTCGTGTAAAGTTGTGCTTGGTTGAAGCAGTAAGTGGCAAATGGCTACGCCTCAAAACCTAACAATAGGATGCATATTCTTCTAGGTCTACTGTGACAGCGTTATCGATCATATATAGGAAGACAGGAGGCATGTCCATATTTACTTCTGGTAATCACGTGCATGGCATCAGCTAATCAAATGGGGGAAGGTATGCCTGTTGACCATGACTATACGGAAGTTCAGAATTAGCTGTTGTCGGTTTGGAGTTGACTATGAATGTTTATTGCTTGTATATTAGATGTTTTATAAAATTATATACCTAAATGTTTGGTGAAGCTTTTTATTCCATTGATTCGATGTCAATTCTTCATTAACTTGACGCCGTTTTATTTATTTTTCACAGTGATCCAGACTAGAACGGGTCTAATACGAGGCAAAATCGAGCCCTCCGGTTTATCTGGAAAATATGTCCAGAAATTCCAAAATATTCCGTATGCCGAAGCTCCAAATTTTTATTTAATTGAGATTTTGCTATTAATTTTATATTTGTTAATTGTTTTATCAATTTCATCGTTGTTAATATAAACGAATCGACAGTGGAAGCTTCTAACATGGTTACAATATATGATTTTAATCCTTGGTTGAATTAAATAAATATATAAATACTATAATACTATCAGGGTAGTTTTCCTGTTTAAGAAAAACTTTCCTAAGTGACAACGTATACCTTAATACGCGAACATTTCATCAGTAGCCTTGACGATGAAGGACTTATTTTACTATTCTTTAGGCACATTAAACAGCACTGAACATTTAATCGCTTGTATTCAACCAAAACTGCCTGAGATTGTGATCACTGAGGACTGTTTAATCACTGAGGACTGTATAATCACTGAGGACTGTTTAATCCTGAATGTGTGGACACCATTTCCACGTCCTATGAATGCGAGCGTAATGGTAAGATATTTTGTTTTCCGCGTGAGGTTCAATTTGTCGTTGTTCCTTTTTAGGCTTTTGCTGTTTTGTTCAATATATATTTAATGTTTTTTTGTTCGCAACGAATTGAAGCTAATAACTTCACGGCAACCAGGTATATATAATCCATCGTATATGGTAGTAACCACATAAAATTACATAATTTATATACCACACAAAAAAAAAAAATAACATTACATGTAATCTTGGTGCGGTGATTACTTTCATTTATTATATTCATTTTGAAATCAATGGTGTTTCTTGCAATCTGATTGGTTAAAAATAGTGTGATTAATTCCGAAATCGCACTATTTTTGAGCATTAATCACATAATTTATAAGCCAATAAGATTGCAAGATTGAAGCTCTGCACCACAATAACCAATCAGATTTAGTATTTCAGTGTAACTATCCAATCAAATTACAGGGGAAAACGGAACAAAATTTTATTATTTTGAATTTTTAAATGCCCCGCAAAATTTCTTGACAAAAATAAATGAAAATTACTCACTTTTACACCGTTTACGGTTCTTTCAGCCAATAAATCGTTTTGAATTTGTTTTTAAAATCTTTTGTATGATTTCAAAATGAATATAATAAAGTGGAAATTGCACTTTGTGTCGTGCAATTTTGGTGTGAAATTAAACTTTTGATTACAAATCGCGTTTAGATTTTGTAATCACGCGTTTGATTTCACACCAAATTGCACTCCACTCAGTGCAATTACCATTATTAATTAAACCAGAGTAGCGATAATTGCGATGGTCTTTCTTGCTGTATATTCTTAATTTCTTTCTTGTTGACGTTGTTGTTACAATTGCAATTTTGTTTTATGTTGCCTGCTGCGTTTTTTAGTTCATCTCTTGCATGTGGTTTCGGCAGAACTCGGTTTATTTTTCCAAAACGAAAAAGTCTCGAATAAGTTGGTAAAGGAGGGTGGTAAACTAAAGTACTTTACGGTCCTTTAAAAATAAATCACTCATATAGACCGCTTGTGAGATTTTAATTTTTTATTGTTGCAGCAAATCAAATGAACCCCATGCAGGTTGTTCAAAAGCCGGTTAGCTTAACCCTGGGTTAAAGCAAATTTTTACATTATTTTTTAATCTCTTGTTTATAAATTTGAACATCTTTTTTCATAAATATTTGCTGGACCAATAGAGGTGATATTTTCCAAAGTTTTAAAACGGACAGTGGTTCAGAATAAAAAACTAAAACACTGGATCGTAATTAAATCTGGATCTTAAATTAATTTTTATCTTTTTATTTTTGATCTTTTGTTGACAAAAACGATTTCTGTTGGAGTAACTTCGCAAATGCTGATATCATGCAATTAAAATAATTTTTACTGCCAGGTTTGGATACATGGTGGAGGATTTCGAAACGGACAGTCCGGTATATACCGTAAACCTCCGACTATAAGCCCCCCCAAATATAAGCCCTCCCATCTATAAGCCCATCACATTATTAACAATCCCGTCATTCCAAATATAAGCCCCCCCGAATATAAGCCCATTATACAGGTCGAGATACAGGTATATATTAAATACTCTTGCACTAAAACAATTCTCTATAGCAGTAACTAAGCAAAAACATTCAAGCAGTGTGTGTTTTAATGTTTTAATTTTACAAAACATGTTCGTCCTGGTGATGTTTCAAAGCGGCACCGACGAATCTTTTGTGCAGCTTAACATGTTAATATTTGTTTATCTGTAATTCTTGTTTATTTTCGTGTTTATACCTTAACAATAAATACGGCACTTGGTTTATATAAACCCGAAATGTTGTCCATGTATAAGCTCCCCCGTATATAAGCCCTCCCGTGTATAAGCCCATCAAAAAACGCTTACGAACTTATATAAGCCCAGGGCTTATAGTCGGAGGTTTACGGGTATAAAGGTTCAAATTTTGTAGCAGTTGGTAATGTCATACTAGTTACAATCAATTACAGACTTTCAGCTCTCGGATTTCTGACAACTGGAGATGGTAGAATTAAAGGTATGCACTTTACCAACAAAAGAATATTAATATAATATTGATAAATATAAATTGCAAGTGTATAACACGGACGGTTTCAGGAGTGTTATCAAAAAGTTAAATTAATGTTCACAATGTTAAGTGGACCACACGCCAGCCATGTATGTACACATGAAACGAAAATCATAAGAATATATGCATGTATTTTCTGCTTTTACAAGATCTACCCAAGGCATTTTTCTTTAATTGATAAGAGAGAACATGTCTATTAGAGTCAAATTGACTGTTATGCGAGATAAGCTTCATATCTTAAAGCTTCATAAAAATAGTACCCTACGTAAGAAACGTCAGGTCATGTTCTATGCAAAAATGTTCAACAATAACAAAAAATGCCTAAAGTTTATTTGCTGGCTGAGGATTTTGTTAGAAAAACTGTGATTTCTTTTAGCGGTAAAAGTTAGCATTCCAGCGGTTTTTCTTTTCTTTCCCTTAACTCTTTTGACTGACCAGTCTCCCGGCGATAGTCTCACAATCGTTTACACGCAAAAAGAATTTTGATAATATATAACACTGAAAAGCTCTCTTTCTTCACATTCAGGTAATTTTGGCCTTTACGATCAACGTTTAGCAATGGCATGGGTTAAAGATAACATAAAAAATTTCGGTGGAAATGCGAATTCGATAACAATTTTTGGCGAGAGTGCTGGGAGTGTCAGTGTCTCAGCACATACGTTATCGAAAGGTAGTTGGAAATATTTCGATAAAGCTATCTTGCAAAGTGGAAACATGCTAACACCGTGGGCGATTATGACAGACGCCCAGATCAAGTATGGACTACAATGGTTTCTGGAAAAGTTAATTGTAAAAATGATGATCATTTAGTCAAATGTCTTCGGAATGCCAGCGAGGAAGTATGGAAGGAAACTAGCGATGGCTCTGGGAGTATACGGGCACGCCCTGTGGTTGACAGAGAATTCTTTTCTGATCAACCAAAAAATTATTTGAGAAAGGAAACGTTAAAAGTCAAGATATAATTATTGGAATCACTAAAGACGAAATGTTCTTTAGCGAACAAGGGCTTTTAAAAGTGAAAGCACATTTTAAAAATTCGTCAGAGGACGTGTACGAGAAGGCGAGAGAGTTATATAAGCCGAAGTGCATTTCATCGTATTTGGAAGCATTGAGACCGAGTGTAGCATTTGAATCAGATAAAATGTTTATTTGTGCAACAAGAAATGAGGCTAAACTCAGATATAACCTGATGAACACTACAAATTCATATGTATTTCAATATTCGCACACCCCGTTGGTACCATATCTACCAGACGTGTATCCCTATGGATTGTATGGATTTGCAGGTCATGCACTGGACGTTGTGGTAAGACAATTCTTTCTCATTGATTTACTAAATAAACCACCTGAACGACTTTTAAATATATCTATTCTATATATTACGCTGCTTGTTCAGGTCAATTATGCTGAAGATGCGATCTTAAATCCCGCTAGAGACAACGAAAAAGTTCTGAGTGCAGTGTCGAATTATGAATATAATTTATTGTTTCATGACTTTATTCTACCCGGGCGTAGAGGGAGGCTGGTGAATACTTATTTTTAGAGCAACCGAGAAATGCCTCTCAAAATGCGGGCTCAGCTTTCCTCTACGCCCGGATAAAATATAGCTTACGCTTCGCGATCATGTTGACGTCACTGAACTGACAGCGCAGTATATGGTATATGGCCTGTTTACATGCACTAGCAATTTTAGGTGCAATTTTATGTGCGATTTTCTTCTTTTGGTAGATGTGAACGAGTGACTAGTTACGAATGCTCTGATGACTAAGAGCTTTTATTTGAACGTCCGTCACTAATTCATTCGTTCACATCTATCAAAAGAATAAAATCGCACATGAAATCGCAGCAAAAATCGCAAGTGTAAATGGGCCTATACAACTATACTCGCCCTTGGAGAAAAAAAATAGTGCAGGTAAATATACCGGTATATGGTTTACTCGACCCCATTTCAAAAGAGTTTGTAGTTTTTCCCCGTATTTCTAATCTGCGGGGACTAAATTGCGATATTTTGTCATACAAACTCAATTTTGTGGCACGAATCACAAAAGATATCGGTTTGGCCGCTGCAGTTAAACTATAGGAATATTCACGTGAAAAAATTAAAACGTCCACCAAAACTTCATTCATTTCTGCTAATAAAAACAAAAAAAAACAAAGAAGCGCTTTCCGTTTACGCTCGTGCATGTTTGACCTGTTGTCTGTACAACAGGAAATGTCTTTGACAGTGTAAACGTCAGCAGTTCTGGTCAAACACTGTAGGGCTGCTTCATTTACTGTTCGGAATACTCCAGATTTCAGGAGCAGTAATGGAGTGGAACAGAACGCTGTCACGTGAAAGTTCAGATCTGTTCTGATTGCCCTTACTTTTAACCTTTTAAGTAGAGGCAACTAGAACACAACACGTGACACGTACAATTTTCACGTGTTTAAAAGTGATGGTAATAGATAATGTGTTTAACCAGGATGTTATGTTTGCCTCATTTTAAGACTTTATCGTCATCCATAGACATGTATCTATTTTCAGGTGGTGGCAATATATGCAATGTGTAAAAGTGTCTATAAAAAGTGCATTTCCACATAAAAATACATGAAATCATTATACTGTGTATCATCCGAACAATTATAAAACGCATGGTTTACCGCTTATGTAATAGACTGAACACTGTTCCAGAACAATGTGTAGACACGCCTCTCTCACAGTGTTCCGAATTATCCCGGAGCAGCCCTTGTGCTCACACACGATGACGTCATTGTGCGCACAGACATTTTGCTAGTGTAAATCGGTCTTAAATGTGTGCGTGCTAAGTACACCAATGTGTACGTCCACGGGTACGTCAGACCTTAAATCATATTACTCTGTGAAATAAATTTTATTCCAATCTCCCCAACCTCAACGATATACACTGTACTTCCCTGCGTCTTCCTGGACACAATTGAATTGTCCAATTGTGCCAGTCACAAGTGCATTCGGAAATTTTTGCAATATGAAAGGCATCAGCTTTTTGTACTCACCCTGTAGTTCATGATGCATTATTGGTCGATCCTTTACTCTCAGTCTCTGCATATATTTTAGTCAGTCTTTGGTTTTCCAGTCAATAACACGAGGTTTCGACCTGATGATCAAACACTGTCGATGAGAATGATCTTATACTGGACCAATTTTGCAAAAACGGGGTAAGTCCTAATGTTTTCAATCTCAATTATAATATACATTGATGATCGATGTTGAACGATGCCGATACTTCAAGTAAAATCAAGTAATAGCGACTTGGAGAATGCATGGAGCAAATTGGACAACAACAAAACAAAAGTTGAGTTGAAGTACCGGTTTAGTATGAAGTAGAATTATATATCGTTATATACTGGACCCAATATTCGAAGTAGCACTTACCGCATCTTGAAATGCAGATGTTGTGCACTACACGCTAGTCGTTAGAACTCGAGACATGCAGTTGAAGATAGAGCAGTTGATGCTTGTTAAGTCGCCGTCCTACCTGCTGAGAGTACGTGACAACCAGCAGGGATTGATTTCCCTCGGCTGGAATGGCCCGATTTGGAGTTAACCGTTTATTCGCGCTGGATCGATAATACAGTTATTCGGCCGCCATCTTCGAAGCCTATTCGTAGGTGCATGATTTGTTGAAGTCAACTCAGACCACTGACCAGTGGTGTGGCAGTCGAAAGCCCCATTTACACTACAGTCAATTTATCGGCACGGCACGGCTAAAATACCCGTGCCCAATTTTACTAGTGCTCAGGCTACCAAAACAAAGGCCGGGCACGGATGAAATGGGCACGGGTACCCATTTTAGCCGTGCCGTGCCAATAAATCGAGTGTAGTGTAAACGGGGCTGAAGACCAGTGCCAAGATCGTTTATGAAGACCAAAACAGTTAAAAAATAGGCACTGGCCCTACGGCTACGGCTTCAAAGTTGGCGATCGAGTTCTAGTGCATTGTTCACATAATATATAGAGTTCACTGCCAAAATTTTGTGTATATATTCCGACTTGGATAACTAACAATGCTCTTAACAGCATTTTAGCTATAGGTATACGTAGTAAGGTGACTAAGGTCAAAGGTATTCCTAACAAACGATTCTGAATGGCTAATCATGCAATTATTACAAACTTTCGTGAGAAGTTTAATTCTTTTTCATGCATTATAACCGGACCCTGTTTTAAGTTATATTTGAAAATTCGCATCAATCTTCCCTATAGGCCACATTAACCCGGAAATGAGCTTAAAATAGATTTTTATTTCTTTAAAGAGATCCAAATGCAGGTACAATTACGTTACCGATTGTGGTCGACAACGTGGACAGCCTACCAACATGGCCTCGATATAGCGTTGGTAAAGAAGAATATCTAGATATGGATAGTTTTTCCCAGATGACGGTTCGAACAAAATTGCGTGAAATGCATTGTGATTTTTTTATGGATCCTGAAGGTTTCCTAAAAGACAAGTAACCAGCAGTTCCACAAGATATTTCCTGTCTGCATGGTTTTCTGTGGCTGTGATTTCTGCTATGTTTAACTGGGTGACAAACTGAAAAGTGTAGTTGTAGCTGACGACGATGGGCAATGCGTTGGCATTGCCAGTTTACTCTTGAACTTTGCAAAAGAATTTGCATGGTGTAAGTACGGGATGGAGACACTTATTTTTTTAATTTACTTTTAAACGGGATTCTACATAGCATAATAAACATAAGATATACTCAAAATTTAGCAAATTTGTCAAACATCAGAACAGCGGAATATACTTGGCGATTTGATGAGATAATAAATTTGTTTCTGCTTTGACTATTGCGATTTTCTCTTCTTATATACTTATACTTTCGTGTTCTAAAAACGAGCTATAGTTGCAAGATGCAGAAATGAAAGGCAGAAATCAATCCATTCACAGCATCAGCAGTAAAATAGCGATGCTACTCAAATCATACCGAATTGTAATTTAAAGTCATTCACGGTTATTGGTAGAGAGCAGTAGTGAGTTCAGGCCGCACCTTCTTGGCAATTTGTTCTAACGAGTAACGACGTTCTGGCGCATCCTTTCAGCTACATTAGGGAGATTTAGCATCAGGGCGTGAACGTCAAAGACGATGTGAAAATGACGAATAAATATTTGGCGTGCGTAGACAGCACTCTCTTCTATCGATTAAAGGCCGGCGCACACTAGAGCTACGTGCTTAGCAAAACGTCATTCGTGGCTATTGGCGTAAGGCAGTTGCACTCGTGTGTGGGCGACTTTTCCGGCGACTTTGGTCATTCGTGCCACTTACGGCAAATATCTAGCATGTTTGATAATTTCTGGCTCGCGTGCCGAAATCTTTCCGTGTGCGGCAAAATAAAAGCTATCTGCTCTATCCATAATTTTGTTTTTGCAATCTGTTCGCCATCTTAGATGTTTACTTTCGTATATTACGCATGCGCTGTTAAGACAATCCATAAGCAGATAGCTTTCAGTTTGCCGCGCACGGAAAGATTTTGGCGCGCGAGCCAGAAATTATCAAACATGCTAGATATTTGCCGTAAGTGGCACGAATGACCACGAATGACCAAAGTCGCCGGAAAAGTCGCGCGCAAACGAGAGCAATTGCCTTGCGCCAGTGGCCACGAATGACTTTTTGCTACGCACATAGCTCTAGTGTGCGTCGGCCTTAGGAATATTTACCGCATAACAGACAAGACAAATAAACCACAGATAAATGCAGGTAAGTATTAATAACACCCTTTAATATGTTGTAATATAACTCTTTTAACAATGATTAACTGAAAAAGCGAATTATGTTTACTATACATTTATATTTATATTACTGTATACTATATAATTCCAGTTTGTGGCATCGCGTTACAAAGGGCACAGGTGTCAAACACTAGTTCGTGAATACCATCACAGAAAAGAGCATAGCAAACAGAAGTTTACTGGAAAAAACACTAACAGGCAAACTACCGGCGCGAACTTCCTTCAGGACTTTGGAATTAGGGTTTTCGCTAGAATTGAACCAAAATTTCATACAATTATTTCCATCCTCTTTCACATACTTATACGAATTTCCCCACATGTGGTTACAAAGACTTTCGCCACTTCCGTACATTACAGTGTAGTTAACACAACTGTTGTTGCTAGGCCCAGGACATTTGTTTTTATACTCCATGGTACGTTCATAATCTTCAATGACGTTTTTCACACATATGAGATCGCTTTTACATGCATCAAACCAAGCGTCGCATTCACTGGCACATATTGGAACACCTAAAACAACATCTATAGCAATTAGGTCGAGTACATTTAAAAGAGATGTAATCCATTGCATGTAACCTGCAACGCATTTTCAGACAATTGTCTAATAAAAATAGAGTATGGAAATATCTTATTGCTCTCATTTGCTTTTCCGATCGGAATTTCCGATCCCATAGCGTACGGGGGCGGGGGCTGGGAAAGACCGTAACCCGGACCCTAACCCCAGTCACAGAATACCTAACAGAAGTAGTACTCTATACTATTTTTTCGTAAGTGTGATTCGTCATGATTCGTCACTTAGCAAGTGCATTTTTTGAGGTAGTCACCCCCCTGCCAATGTCTAAAATCAGGCCATATTTAGTACTGGCAGGGGGGTGACTGCCTCAAAAAGATGCACTTGCTAAGTGACGAATCATGACGAATCACACTTACGAAAAAAGTACAGGAGTTCCACTTCTGTTAGGTATTCTGTGCCCCAGTCCTCTGTTTAGTGTGCACATTTCGACCTTTTGATAAAACCTTCCCGTATAAAGGAAAGCACCAAGCGCGTTTTTCACAAGCAAAATGCACGCTTGTCCCCTGGAAGAAACTTTTTGACAACAATCAACGTAAACACATTGCATTATTTGTGCATGTACAATGTCTTTTAGTAATTAGTAGGAAAACTTAATCTGTGCTATATAATAGTTTGCCAACGTGATACGATATAAAATTTTCATTGTATGAATTATGATCCTCGAAATTTCAAGGACATTCTCATTTCGGGAAAAAAAAGAGTACTGTACCATTTAGAGCATCTTTAACCTTGCTGTCCTTCCATTGGTAAGCATATGGTGAGCATTGATAAAAGCATTCCTACAAGAAAAACGGTGGCTTAATTTTTGTATCTGCTACATAGAGGATGTATTTTGTTTTGCTTAATTGCTTCTTTTGAATGGATCGAAAGCCATAAATTTAATAGGTATGCACAGTTTAGGCTTGTTTAGGCGGCCCAAAATTGGGCGATATTTTTTCGGCAATTTGTCAATATATATTATACATTACATTGACAAATTGCCAAAAAAATTTTCGCACGAAAAAATATTGCCAAATTTTGGGCCGCCTATGGTCTGTCCTGACCATTGTCTTGATAAATGAAATTGGGAGTCAATAAGAAGGGCAACAAGGAGAGCCATGAAGATGGTCATAAAGTGACCTCTTGAAATTGGTGCGAAAAGTTTCTCACAAGCCGAGTCAAACAAAAAATATCATCGTAAGACTTGGATACAATGAAAGAGGTTTATTTGCTTTAACTACAATATAATGTCAAGTCATGGTGCCTGGTGGGACATGCAAATCAATGAGGCAAATTTCTGTTATTGATAGCCTCAGGTTGATTTTTGGTGCATTTAAAGGGCTGCTTGGTATGGTTAGAAAATTAGAGTCTAGTTGGGATAACTCAGTTATCCAGCATCATAAACATTCACAATATACATATGGTATTAAATTCAAAAACATGGAGGCATGCAGTCATGCACACAAGCATACATAGATCTTAATGCCATTATGCTCATTATCAAAACTGAAATATTTCTACTGTCAAAACATAACAGGTGAACAATGGACCAATGAACATGCATAAATATATACAAGTAAAAAGCCACAATATTCATGCTGTAGCTGCACTCGTCACTTGCTCAGGTTTGACACTGACCTAGCTGTGAATTTAGTGTTTGATAAGGGGCGGTCTGAGGTCTCCCAACAAAGTTGCAATTCATATTTATACGTTATTTACCAGATTTGAGGTCCGTATAGGGAAATATTTACCAAGGTCTAAAAACAGGCAGAGGCTGAAGGCCGAGGGACAAGGCTGAAGGCCGAGGGACAAGGCTGAAGGCCGAGGGACAAGGCTGCAGGCCGAGGGATGAGGCTGAAGGCCGAGGGACGTTTTTGAGACCAAGGGAAATATTTCCCTATACATACATACAGACCAATTAAACTGGTAAATAATAGATTTTTTTTTGCGGTCCGAATTCATATTTTAGCGTTGGCTGTGTGCTTTTAAATCTCGCCCGATCCGTACAGCCTCATACGGACCCGCTCGTGTAGCCAATCAGATTGCAATCAGATAGCATATGAATTCGGACTGCAAGAAAAAAAATAAAATGCCATTAAGTAACACTCCTTTGAGAATATTAAGTCAGCTGCAAAGTGAGAGTTGTTTTACAGAAGCGTAATAGGCATTAGAGTCTTTAGGCATAACTGGAGTGCGTGTGCTATAGCTGCTCTTACAATACGATAATACGACCAGCTTGGCCTTGCCATGATTCACCAGTTCTATATAAAGTAATACAGTAGACCTAGATTTATGTGACCAAGGCTTTGTCGAAGTCCAGTTAGTCCACAAACACCACAAGAATTAAGCACAAAGGTCAAAGCCAAATCTAGGCCAGGCCCAGAGCTGTAATCGCACGCCGCTTATTATTACTTTAGCCAAGGGAATAAAGGCAGCAGATCAGTCAAATTCTCGTGGCGTATCTTAGGTTTGGCGATTGTAAAGACCCTACTGTCACAGCTCAGAACCTAATGCGCAAAACGGTAATCGAAACGATATATACCTGGCGTTTCCAATGTTTCAAGCATTCTGTTGAAAGATTCCCACACAAATGCCAAGTATCGTTGTACAATTTCGGGGCATTGCCCTGATCTATTTCGTTGTCCAACCGCACCGTACAACACGTAAGGTTTTTCCAAGGTGTGCAAAATTTGTATTCTTGGCTTTCTTCGAGGGGTGTTTTCCTGTGATATGGACCTTCAAGACACTGCTCGGTGTTGCAAAAGCTCGGCACAATACACCACGTGCTCAGAGTAAGAGACAGCAATGCCACGAAAGGTAAATATTGTTTCTCGTACAACATTTTTGTAGGATATTACTACCTCGAAAAGCTGACTTTTAGGACGTTTAGAATTTTTTGTACCTGCAATATTCGTTTCAATGACAGCAAATCTTCGCGTTTCTTCGACTTAGAAACACTAACCGAAGATATGTATGATATCGATATGTGTAAAATTTCACAATTCAAAATATCAACAGGGCCACATGGCTACTACCCACGTGACCCTAATTGATATTTTGGGGCCGCGCCAGGCTAGGGCCTAGGGCATATAATTATTATGTTATATAATTATTATTAATTTTATTATATCAACAATTCTTAATTGTTTAGTTTAAAAAATACAGGTTAAACTGCCAAACAAACAGCGTCAAAAACATTTAGCGTGATATTTACTTCATACAAACTCTTGTGCTTCTAAATGCAGGTCCAGCCTTAACGTAATTCTCTAAAGCTATTTCTGCAGCGTTAAACACATTATTGCTGTAGTGAACAATGTCTTGAGTGCCATTCGGATAGGAGGCGGTTAATGGAAACACGTCTAAAACTTCAATGCCAGCCCTACACATTGCCCACATGGCGTAGGTGTCGAATAACCTTACACGCTGGAAAATAGAAACGTTACAATCAGGCGATCAGCCACCATTATAGTATGCGAACATGCTCTGCGAGTCAAATTTGATGCACTATAAAGGCAATTTTCCATTGCAGTGGCTTTGCCCGCGCGGGAGAAACGTGCTTTGTTTTTAAGGCCGGTCACGGTCAGTGGTCACGGTCGCATGGGCACATTTCAAAACCCGCTTAGCCCGCGCGGGTGAAGCGGACTGTAATGGAAATCGCCCGTTCCCGTAACAGAAACACGAGGTCTTCGGAGTGATAAAATGCGAGACTATCTTACTGGTTCGGTGAAAAATCTCCACTGTGTCGCATTTCTTGGTGGTTTAGTTTTCTCTTTTCGCAACGAAGTTGTGGTTTTCCAAATAACCCTCGCATTACTCCCCAGTTCGTTTTTACGCACGTTCAATATTTGTATGACGTCATCAATCAACTTTTGATAAGTCGTGAAATTCAAGGATACTGGGTAATGTAGCCCTAGGTTCAAAACCAATAAACTGTATCGGGTTTTCATGCTCGTATCACGTAGAACATCTCTGATTGAGTCAAGTATTATAGTTGGTTGAAAATCAAGGTTATTATACTTTGATTTTGCGAGCACTTCGTTCTCACCAGGAAATGGGTACAACCAGTTATAACTGTGCCTGCATTGCTCGAATATTCGCCTGCACAGCGGTTTAGTTGAAAGTGAAAAATGAAATCGCACTCCTAATGAGTCCCCGAAGATCCACAGTGTTCCCCTTGGAGGCGGTGGCTTCTCTAGTGTAGGAAGATGGCTTACTATGAAAATTTAAAGAATAGCTCGTTCACACTTAGTAGACTGAGGCATGAGGTTTAGTTTATTCATTCTCAGTTAGGTTCATCAATAAAGGGTCATGTATGATCAGTACCTAAGATAAAAGGAGTTCAGAACATACTAGTATACGGCATTCCAATTATACCAACGAATTAGCTAATGCTATAAAATAGATTCAGTCAAGTTTGATTTACCAGGAAGATATGGCAACCAAGCATTGTTTTTCCACCGTCCAAAGCCATTCCAAAGAGAACGGCAAGATTGCGCGCAAGTTAGGCTGGGTAATCCTGTAGGATTAAATTCACGAAAGAATGGTACAGTTACTATCAAAATAGTTCAGTTGATGATTGATGAACCGCAAATGTAACTAACTCACCGTTTTTTACTCCTCTCGTTTCATTTGATGAGACTTCGAAGGTTATGATTTTACCTCCTGACAAGGGTTCATAAATAAAGTCATTAAGAAAACCAAGTATTCCTTCAGGCTGTTGTTTTCCTTGTTTATTCCCTAGAGAAGAATATAAATATTAATCATATATAGTATAGAGATATATGGTATAAATTATATACAAAGTATGAACTTTAACAGGTTACATGGTGTACATTACATATCATATACTGACAGTCTGACACAATATTCTCTCTCAGTGTCACGTAACTGACATTTCGGATTTGCGGAAACTCACCAATTCGGAACCAGTTTTCCGGAGGATCTCTCAGGCCATCACACAAACTATAATCAAGATATGCACGAACGGTATAGTTTCCAGGCTCCAAAAGCAGCGCGGTGGTTTCGTACGTACCATTTTCATAGTCAAATACAGAAGCTGCAACATTTGCTGGTCCTGTGAAGAACACTCGCCAATTATCGCCACCGATAGTCTTATCCTGCCCACTAGCTGTACGCGTGTGAATAAATATACTAGAAAACTGCCCAGAATTTCGAATATTCATGTAAGTCACGTAACTTCTGCTTGCAGAAGTTTTGTTGACCCTACCCCAGCCAGATTTTAAGGTTCCCCAAGCCAACTGATCTGAGCACGGTTTTAACATTGCCCGCCAGTCTATTCTAGCCTTTTGGATCCTTAACCAATCGTAGCCAAAATCACTTTTTGATCGCTGTATTTTCTTACGTGGTACAACTGTTTCCGGCCAAGCTTGTTGTGCCCTACATACGAGTTTAATTGCAATATTGAATTCAAAATATCGAAAGCCAATGATTAGAGTGAAAACCACGATGAATGTAAGAGAAACCACACTCCAGCATTTGTAGCGACAAACTGATTTGAACAACAAACGAGAACGTTCCATTTGGACTGCAATAAAAGTAATGAATTTGATTTGACAAATGGTAAAGTGCAACCAAATAAATTAAGAGCAAGAAGTAGTGAGAAACGCTAATTTGCAAATCTAGGTAATTTGCAAATCTTTAGTTTAATGAAACCACACAAACAAAAGGATTGATTACAATAGCTGGTTATGTTCCCTAGCAATTTTATTCAGGCTAAAAAATGTTTAACTGATTACTGTGTTGTGATAATAATTTAGCCGGATGCGTAGTCCCAGAGATTTTTTTATCATTAAATATTTTTGGGGTCGGTTGTTCGAATGAGTTTAGCTTTAACGGCAAAAACACTCTCATATACAACTTGTGAATGCCTGAACTTGCACTTCCATTGAAAACTAAAGTGTTTCAGTTCAGTTGTTCTATAAATATATAGTTCTGTTTTCTATTTGAATTTATCAGCTGCAGTTTGATTATAGTTAAACCCCTTTCGAACAACCGGCGGCTGAATGATAAAAAAAAAAAAAACTCTTGTTTATGCTGTGTCAGCTGTGAGTCTACTAACCTAGTAACCCGTACCCAGGGTCTTTTTACCTCCGCTCCACGACCCACAGCGTGCGGTCATTGCCCCTAAAACACAGAAAAATTACGCTGGGTACGAGGTTAGGAGTTTACCTGAAATTCGAGATTTCGGACTGTTTCATTTCGCATGCTATTGCCCGCCATCCTACTGCTAATTGCATATATAAAACTATGTACTATATATCATCAAAAAGCTCATAAAAATTTTATTTTGTTCCCATATTTTAAATACTTACCTCGATAATATACTTTCAAACATAATCATAAACTAAAGCTTTCGCTTGAGATATTTCTTCATGCTGCAATTAAATGCTTTGTTACTCCAGTGAGCTCCAGTCTTACTCCAGTCTTTTGTGGATGTCAATCATTTTGAAATTAAAGTTTTTCCATTCTACCATTCAGCCAAACTTGTTGATCTGGGTTGTATTACAAATTAGTAATTTGGCTACCTGTCCGGGCCAACCCTTTTGAAATGATTCATGGTTAAATATGCCGCGTATTCCGGTATTTTCCAGCATGGTCGAGTATAGCATATTCCAGTATATTCGACCATGGTCGAGGATACCATATTCCGGTATATTCGACCATGGTCGAAATCCGCGGCACCATATTTTTGGTATATTTGACCATGCATACCATGGTCGGGCTTACCGTATTCCGGTCTATTCGACAATGGTCGAGTATACCGTATGCTGGTATATTTGACTGGTTGATACTCCCATATTCCGGTATATTCGACCATGGTCGAGTATACCATATTCCAGTATATTCGACCATGGTCGAGTATACCATATTGCGATGTATTGTCAAAAGCTGGGATGCAATCACTTCAAGAACGTCGAATTGCGATGTGCATTGATCAGTAATTTGGCTACCTGTCCCAACCCTTTTGAAAATGATTGTCGTCGAGCAATTCACGCAATGCGCAGCGTCAGAGCGGAAACGGCACGTACAAATTTGGTACAAATCTGCTATCTGCTTCTCTCTGGAAAATTTTTCTTAACAATTGACAGGGTGGAAGCACGTCCTCTTGACAATCCAAAATGGATGCCGTTCGAAGGCACTATAAACGTCGTGTTCAACAAGATGTGAACTCTGCAGGGCTGTCAATAAATCGCCCGAACAGAGTCCCTTATTATCAATCGTTATTTCAGGTATTTATGGTTATAAAGTTATGTATGTATTTGTACATATTACCCATTTTGACACGCCAGTCGCCAGCCTTGACACTATTTCAACACCACTTCAGCTGAAGTTTCAATAGCGTTTGGCGAGTTCCATTTAGTGCCCATAAAGCGCTGACAACCAATCTATATTTTGTCCAACGGTCTCTATATACCTTTCCTCCTTATGGTCGGAAGTTCTTTCGTAGATTAGCAAAGTATCGTGAGGAATATTGTTTAATAGTCAAATACTCAACTAATTTGTCAAAACATCACATTTTCATAATTCATATATGTATTTGTTCTGATACCAAATAGCAGTATATCGTTCTCTTTTCTATTTTTTTGGAAAAGCACGTAAAATATATTGAAAACAATTTCCGGCCTTACAATAACAAATAAATCCATTTATTTACTCATTTATCTCTGTTTACAGAAACCCACCGGTTTGCCAGTATATTTATTAGGTCCAAATGACAGGTTCATCTACAGGTTGGATATATTTTTTATTTATTAGGGAGGTATTTGAAAATGTCAAAAATTGCACATTATTATGCAGAATTAATTGAGTAATGTATTTTTGAATGGGTGCAATTTTTCTCTATTTTGTATGATTGAGATGCAGGCTAATTTAGTGTCGAGACCTATGTAAAATGAGAACTATGTGCATGTGGACACCACAGAAGAATAGGGCCCTCTCTAACAACAGCCTCTTTACAAGGATTTTTAGTTCACTTGTTTACTTCTCTAGTATATTAGTTTGCTTAGCTCCTTTTTTCTATTTACATAATTTATATTGCCACAAACATTTGCTTTTAGGTCATGCATGATTGCATCTGCTGCTGGAATTGGTATTTGCTTGGCATCCATATACATGATGGCCAGTGGCAACTTGAAGAAAAAGCAAACATAAACTTGATAGAAATATCATGTTGACACTTTTAAAGAAGTTAGAGGCAGCATAATGAAATGTTGTATATTATTTACAAGTGCATTTAAAATTGTTAAATAAAATGGGCAAGTTTTTGCCAAAACCTAGATAATATTAATCACATTTTTTTGGTTTTGCCTATTGTTTTTTAAAATTCTTTTTTATTCATTTGAGCATCAGTAAACGTAGATTCTTTTACACAATTATTACTACATTATTACTACTGGTGAATTGCTATGCAATCTTTTAAACTTAATGGAAATAAATTGTAAGAAGAGCAAATGTGACTGCTGTTTCCCAGAGTTCTGGCATCCCTAGTGGCTTTCACTTTGTTTCTTATTATTTAAATAGGTTATATTAAAGCAAAAACCAAATTTAGGATCTTAGTTCGCAAACCAAAACAATTACAAATTTTTTTCGAAATTTTTTGTCTACTTTGCATCTTCCGGCCTTCAATTTTCAGTGTAATTGTATATTCACAGGGAAAGGGAAATTAACAGTGAGTAACATTTTCAAAACAAAATATACTGCTATTTTATTAAAGCTCGTTTTTATGTCACAATTCATCCGCGTTGTTCTAGGACCATTAAAGGTGATCAATGAAGAAGTTAGAAGTGATCAATGATTTTATTTATCAATGGCAACGGATATTGCTGGTGAGGTTTATTGTGATGTGTTAAATGTTTCTTATTGTATTTTCTTAATTGTCACTCTACGTATAATCTTTTATAAGCTCAGAAATTGAAGCATTGACTATTGAGTATTGTTTATTTCTAAATAACACTAAGCCAAACGCATTACCGGCATTTACCGCGTGGTGTATTCGTATGGACATGGATGGGCAATACACTTGACATCGTTAGACGTTAAACGTCAGAGTATATTTTAGTTTACACTGCATGATCTTCATAAATATTAAAATTTAAACACTGAGCCAACTGCGTAATCTCTCGTACAAAGACGGCGGACCATTTGTAACTGGTGGATCATCACCCGTTAACATATCAAGGTGTTTCTTTTCTAGGAAAATAATGTTAAAAATTTCCCGTAATTTACTAAAATTAGTTTAAAAAATCACATGGGGCCGAGTATAAATTTTTGGATAAATTTCACAGTTGCAAAAATTGAAGTCATTTTCGCTTGAAGCCCATAGGCAAACAAATCTTTGCTAGATGCAACCAGTAAACTCTGTATAGAGAGAGTTCACTGGATGCAACCATGAAATTTGAACCCTCCGTACTAGATTTTTGTCTATTCTTTTTCTATTCAACATCAGTTGTCTTACAGATAGCTATATAGTGCACTATACCTGCGCCGAATTCAACAACATTCTCTCTCGTTTCCTTGTTCCCGTGTTCGTCTGTTTTCTGCGTTATTGTATATTCCTTATCACCACTTCTTCTTGTGATAGTGACCTAAAACATTGTGACCGAAACTGTTTAAATCATGCTCCATTTTTTCACAACAATTCAATGTTCAGCGAATCCTGAAAAAACAAATTTAATCCTTGATATTTAATAGCATGGATAATAAAATAGTCTTTTAACTATCCATGATATCAGGTGATGAGTTGGGATTCGGTCTTAGATTCGGTTTATGGTTGACTAGGGTTAACTCTAATCCTAAATTAAACTCCAATCCTGGCCTAATCTGAAGGATTATATCCGTCTTTAAGATTTACTGAACATGGAAGTATCACCATTATTTCAGATAAAATAGATCACTGGATAAAATGAAGGCAAATGTTGCACATATTTATGCGCATTTATTATGTCACCTCCTCGTTCCCTCTTGAATCTCTTATTGTTTTCTTACTTTCAACAACCTAAACAGAACAGTTATGTTAAGTGTGTTATTTCCTATAATGCCAACATACCTATTTTCACTCATCATAAAATCCGTCACAAATTATTGCTAATTACAAACCCACTTACGCCATTGCTATTGCGGGTAACTGATGATGAAGTAAACGAGCCGAAAAAGGTTCTTGGCGGCTCTGGTTGGGCACTCCCGCGAGGAATAATATCATCAAGACTCTTGCCCCCCGCCTCCAAGTCTTCGTCGAGATCTTAAAGTAAATCATATCAAGTTAACAAAATATCTACAACTCAACATAATTTGATTTAAGCTAATGCGCATGCGTAATTTGTCTAGGGCAAAAAACCCCGGAAAATTATCTATATGAGAGGGAGACGGAGTCATCTACTTTTGAAAATTACAGGAATGACAAACTTAGATGCAAGCATTGCCATTGGATTTATGTGACGGTATGTAAGCCTGCGTCCAAAATTAAAGCCAGTTGCTTTACTTACTTTTGTCCTCCTTTAGAAGATTAAAACGACCCGGCCTTTCGACCGGTCTTCGTAAACCTTCACCCAAAAATGGGGGCTACAAAAACAAAAAACTGAAATCAGAAATTTCGACAACACATGCACGGACATGTCCCTTTGGCGTTGTACAGGTTTTTAGTACTGCGTATTCAATAACTGATCTACATAGGATAATTTGGATGATGATTCAGTTGACGCAGATGGAAAGGGCATCGTAAAGTTAGTAACCGTCGTGGCGTTGGTTGCAAAAGGCGGAAAAAAACATAAGATAGTATGCTGTACCCGCATTGACCGGGCTGCCTATGAAATAATGTAGCTAAAAGCCTGCGTATCAGTTTACTGCTCATTACAGATCGAAATATACAAAATTCGGAAATTCGCATTCACACCAAGTTTAATTCATTTTGCGATGCTCTTTCTAGCTAAAAGCACAACATCTGGGGGAATTTGTTAAATACGTAATATGCAGACATTGACAGATTAACCTGCCAGGTACGCTAATTCATTGCAATTGTAATATAAATATCATGCTTTTTTTTCTTCCTCTCTTTTTAGTTAAGCACCGTTTGACGTATAGTACCTGTGCAGGAGAACGGCGGTTTCGTGTCACAGGATTCCTGTCATTCAACATCTTTTCCTGCAGCGTAGTATTACTCTCGTGCGTATCTTCGTTTCCCGGTAGTGACGGAATTTCGTTTTCTTAAATAAACAGCAAACACTATCGGTCTCCAGTTCCAGTGGCAGGCACTCCAGCATAAATGCTTGGGATACAATTGATGTAATTCAAAGTTTTCTTATTAAGTTATTTTCTTTGCTTTTTATAGATTTCATAGGTTGTTGATCTGATGAAGGCTGGCGCTATAGCCAGTTGTTTTTTTCAATTACTCTGAAATTGTCCATGTGGGTTTTTCAAACACTCTAAAATTGCCTGTGTTTTTGTACAAATTGAATTGAACCTTCCTATTCTTGAAGTAATATTTTTTTTATTAAATGTACTTCCTTTTTAAGCAATGCATTTCTGGTGGATAGCGGATAGCGCCATGCAGCCTTCCTACAACCTGTCCTGTGGAATAGGTTGAATCTTAATTTTTTGCTTTCCCTAGCAGAGTTCTATATATAGTGCCATCCTACAACAGATCCAGAGAAGGAAGCAACACTTGTCCTGTTTTATATACACATGCACTAATATCAACAAATAATTGTATTGCATATAGCTATATAAGTATGTGAGTAGACCGCTCAAGTGATTTTGATGTGGACTTGAGAAAACCTTGTTCATTGAAAGAAAAACAGCCAATTGCAGTTTTTCATTATCAGTAGAAATTATTTTGTTGTTATAATTGGTTAACTCCACATCTTCTATAGCTTATTTGGCTCTCAGGGAGTGTTGGCAGAATTAAGAGTTAGATACGTACCATTAGGTAGTGGGAAAGCCATGACTGGAAATCCTTTGAAGAAATTATTGAACATTTCTTCAAATTCTGACATAAAATCCATTGGGTTATCAAAAAAAGTACCATGTCTGTTGGGATTACATTCATGATATTCCTGCCTCTGACTTTCATCCAAATTACCATGATCATATAAATCATTCAGAATATCTCTACCAAAAAATGAAACCAAAATTTAATAAATCATGTTAATCATCACCGACATCACTCTCCTGAAGCAAAACAAGCAAGATCTGTTTATAATTTTGAAGAGAACTTGTTCCTATAAGCAAAGTTAGGCTGGGTTTGAGTTGATGTGATACAATCACCTTTAATTAAGTGACTTTTCCATGAAGATATATAGATGGAAAGGGAGCAGGTCTGCCCAGTTAATTTAGATAGCCCCATAATAGTGACTAGTCACTAGTCAGTGATTGCAACTATCAGTGTTAATGCAGTATTAATGCAACATAATGCTACAATTACATCAGCATTAATCGAAAGATGTCTCGAAAAGTCTGCAAAAGATTTGTTGCAAAGATCAATAGTAACTTTCCTCCATGATAATACGTCGTATCAAGAGAACTTTTCTGATTGTGGACCATTTGTGGTAACCCTTATTCATCGATTATAGGCAGATTTACAAAAGCAAGACTAATAGGGTGACTGTGTAATTACGTCATAAACAATAAAAACCACTAATATTTCGAAAAAGAATGAGATTTCTTTAAATTATAAAATACCCACTGTGGTATATCCATTGGAACACGATATTCTGAACGCCTACGAAACTGTTCGAAGAAATCTCCAAAGATGCTCATTATGATGATTTTCAATGAGATAGAAGCAGCACGAATCACGATAATTTTCAGAACATCACGCCATGTTGAGTAGTAATCAAGTAATGTTTACAACGTCCTTAAATTGGATACACCGCAATGCTATTTTCTAAATGTAACACGATGCAATTTTTCTTTCAAGTTTCAACTTAAAACGCATTTCAAGTTCTTTACGTCACGTGAACATATTTCATATTTCATCTACAAACTAAATCTATATTGTTAAAGTTCGTCTATTTTGGTTTAAGTAATTAATTAAGTACATTTAAGTACGTGCCAGGATCGAGTTTATAAACTAAGAAAAAAATGTTAGTTACAAATATAGACAGTGATGACTGTGATGAGTAATTGATTCGACTTAGTATATCTACCTCGAAATCTGACAATATCAAACAACATTCTTCTAAACCTACTCGATAAAAACCCCTGTCCCCATCGGCACATTCCAGTTCATTCCAGCACCTTTTTTGTACTCTACACTCTTCCTGGTGTATCTATTTTAACCAGGCGTCATAGACGCCTTGGCGCTTTCTTCTTTAGCATGTTTTGTGCCAAAATATAATCGATGTCAGTACGTTCTTAAAAATTTACTACGTTTTCTAAACAACAGCAGGTCTGACCTAGCAGTTCTATAATTCTCTCGTCTTCATGTGCTTTCTATAAATATTCGCTAAGATCGTCTGTTGATTTTAATACATATAAACGGTCTAAAAATCATTGAATCATGGTGAAGGAAATGGTCGGTGGTTGTTGTGTATGTTCGGATGAACGAGGATGGGACGAAAATCCACTGGTGTATTGCGACGGACATGGATGTAATGTCGCGGTACATCAAGGTAGATTACATGTAGATATCATGCATTACTGTGTTTATGTTTATGTCAAATAAAAGGATGGGGGTAGAGCAGTAAACAATTACATTTCTACAGTACTTACATCTAGCTAGTGTACACTTAAAACTCAATAGTGGTAGAAACTTACGTGGTGTACCTACAAGCTAAATTACCTAATGATGTCACCATTCAAACATACAAGAATATTATTAGTGTACACTTGTTCACTTCAAACAATAAAAATTCTGAGTGCTGCCACTAAATTGAATTATGTACTTCTCGTGATAGCTTGTTATGGAATTGTACAAGTGCCAAAAGGGCCCTGGTTCTGTCGAAAATGTGAATCTCAAGAGAGAATTGCTCGAGTGGTAAGTTATATATGCCAGTTCCCAATGCAATTCTCTGTGTGCAGAGCTATATAGTTTTGATCTTCACAATTGTACAGTATGTTGGGCATAGTGAGCTGATACAATTAAAGCCCTTTGCAAATACTTTGCACAAATACATATTGGAGTTTTGTTACAGTTGTGTTATGTTACCTTTCAACACAATAATCAGTTTTCAAAACATTCTTCTGACATGCTCACTATTTTTACTAAAAATATAATGCTATCGACAAAAATGAATAATATCAACAAAACTTTTGAAAAGGAATCTTGAAATTTTCACGCCATAATAATACATGTATTATTCACCCTTTTTAGAAATGTGAACTGTGTCCCATGAAAGAAGGAGCTTTGAAACGAACTGACACTGGAGGTAAATTGTGACTAGTCATAGTTTGGACAAGGCCATAGCAACAGGTGGTCAGATTAACAAGATCTGATTAACAAAAGCACAAAAATCCAAAACTCACTTGAATCACCTTATCTCAAAATGACACATTACAAACAGTTGAGAAGAACAGTACAACTGTTTGGCCAGCATTAAAATGCCATTCTGCTTTCAATCAGTATTTGATTAATATCATGTGACAGCATTTAGTCGATTGTTTGTCATACCTAACAGTTCTATCTGTCTTTAGGCTGGGCTCATGTACTCTGTGCTCTGTATATTCCTGAAGTGAGATTTGGCAATGTTAGCACAATGGAACCTATTATACTGTCATCTGTACCCCATGAGAAGTTTCAAAAGGTCTACCGATCAGTGTATATACTACAGGGTGTAAAGAGGAACACAGGCATTAAATATTCATGATATTTAGTGTGTGCATGCATGCATTTTTTTACACCCTGTATATCATATATTCAATGCTCATGGTGATTTTTGCAAAAAAGAGGACAAGTGCATGAATAAAGGTAACATATTATTGTTTACCTTGTAACAGACATGCTATTTGTGTGAAGAACATGGTCGGGAAAGCAAGACGTCTGGTGGTGCTTGTATGCAATGTAATAAGATTGGTTGTCGGCAAGCATTTCATGTCACATGGTGAGCTTTAATATTTGGGTAACTTAGTATTTATCATAATGATAGTTATTATTTTGTCTTAATAAGATGAGTAAATTTTTTCATGAGAAATTCTACCAAAGACCGCAAACATTCAATCCATGCATTTAAAAGTGTTTTTTCTTTTTGTGTTGATTTTCCTTCATGTTACCCTAATTTAGTGCCCAGGCTGCTAAACTTCTATGCGAAGAACAACAGGGTGTATCTGCAAACACTGTCAAATATGTTGGGTATTGTTCTTATCATTGGAATAAGAAGGTATCTATATAAACATATGTGCACACAGCATGATGTACGGTATTTATTGTTCATGTGTGTATTCATATTTCAAATTCTTATCTCAAATACAAAAAATCACAATTCTCTTTTGGCATTCTTTCTAATCTTGTTCATGTTCTTGAAACATTTTGAACATAATAACACACTAATTTCCCTCCTATATATGACATAATAATAGACTGGGTAGAATTGCGTACATGCGCGAGCACCAGGAGAACGAAAACATTTCTGGGCTTACTATGATTAAAGCAGAGAGTTTACATATGTCAAAATATCATGAGTAAAATGAAAATTAGAAGAAATTGTGGTTATACATAATGGTGTACGTCCGTAAAGGCGCTAATTTTGGCCCACTTTTTTGTTTGCTCCTAAATAGTTTTCCAAATTACTTTTTTATTTACAAACTGACTTTACGTGTAGTTTTAGGTGGATGATTATATATGCAGATTATTTGTACTTATCTTTAAGTTTCTAATTTTTTCCGTAGAATTCGTATCTTTGCAGGTAGAAAAATCTAATTAAAGCACTGAGAGTTTATTATTAATTGAGCAAAATAACAGATTAGTGGATAAAAAATCTGAAAAACAGAAAGAAATTGCAATTACATACTGGTGAATCAAAAGACTCTATATATTTGGCCCACTCCACATTTTTCTGCGGTCAAATACACACTTCCCGAATTTTCTAACCCTAACCCTAAGGAATGGTTAAGTGCACACAAAACAATAGCTTGGAAGCGAGGCGGGAAATCAATTTCGGGTTTTCATCGCCCGAGAGAGAACAAATTCGGGAAGTGTGTATAATATTCCAATATTTAGTCATGCCTTAAAATACGAAACCTCACTCTTAAGAAAGTCTCTGAAAGATGAAGAGCAAAACGTAATCAAAATATCAATCAACTCGTCAAAAAACCGAAACAAGTATTAAATAAAATACCGGACATGCGTTAACATTGGCAAATAATAACGAGATTAAAAGTCAAAAGTACAATGTTAATTGTGAAACCGTAATCAGTTGCATCTTAATCAATCCATATATCACGCATTGCAATCTAGTATGCTGCGAATCGCGAATTTACAATTTAACGAATACCGTATCCGACAGAAAAACAGTTTCCGATCAGTCAGGCTTTTGCGAGCCAAGAAATCTCGATAACTAATGTACGAAACAAGTCTATTCATGTTTCATAGCTTGATAAGAGGTCGACATTTAAAAAAATTCAAAGTAATTATACCAAAAATGATATCTGATCTGAAGATATTAAAAATACAATTTCTTTATAAAACTTAAATTGTAAATTTGTAATTTCTAGTCCATGTAAATGTAGATCATTCTCGAGCATTTTCTGCTTGTACAGTGTGTACATGCATGTATGATTTGCCAAACCCTTTTTAGCTGTTGTGATTTTTCCCCTCTTCTTGCTAAATATAAAGAACTAGTGAAATGCAAATTGGCAATGAACGCTTGATCCCCATGATTTTGTGAACAATTATAGGACATTTTATTTTATCCTCCATAGGGCAAGGGCGTGGTGATCCCTCGACCGAACGAAAGGGCAAGGTCGAAAGCCGAAGCAAGAAGCCAAATTCATAAGCCGGATATTAGTAAACGGCCCTCAGTGATCGGTACCACGAAGCCATCGGAATCCATCTCGCCACCGATTCCAACAAAACCGAAAAACAGAAAACCGTCATCCAAGTCATCGGATACCAACATTCCAGAGCCGTTGTCAGCCACGGACAATCCACTTTTGCCGGGCTCCCAACACCTCATGAAGACTCAAAAAATCACATCGCCGTTGAACACTCCATCAGTCCGCGATCAGCTTCTTTCCAACTATCCGAGCGTTGTTTCGACCCATTTTCCTTTTCAGCATACCATTCCAAAACCTGATACGGGTAATATACCTTTTGCATTATTGTCTACTTTTTGATCTATGCATGGAAGGAAATGCAATCAAATCACCACAGCTTTTCGAAAAGAGCGTACTAAAATTAGTAGAAATGCAAAGTTTGGTTGCGAAATTTTGTAAAATGCGGAAAATATAGCCTTGCAAAGTTTGCAAATTTGTATACTTTTTTACAACAAAGGGGAATTGTTATACCACATTCGGGCCAAAAATGGTGACAATTTTCGGTTTGATTGCATTTCCTTGCAAAGTTCAAAAAGTAGTCTATAATGCAAAAGGCCGATTATAGTATAATAATTATAATGTATATAGCTGCATGCTGGCTGCGTTTTTACGCAAACTGATTGGCTACTCACTGTAGCTATATCAGTTTATTGACGGCGAGTAGTGAAAACGACCAATAATATACAATGGAAAATCTTAGTGAGAATTTATTTGCACATTATCATTATAAAGTTTGACTTTGGTCTATATTACAAAATTATTATACCATTCGCTGTCGTCATATATGGCTATACGACTCAAGCATAGCTTAGCAAACGTTGGCATGACGACAATGGCCGTTGTCACATTAGAGAC